CCGGTCTCTACTGAAAATACAAAAATTAGCCAGGCGTGGTGGCCTGTGCCTGGAATCCCAGCTACTCAAGAGGCTGAGACAGGAGAATCACTTGAACCCAGAAGGTGGAGGTTGCAGTGAGTCAATATCAGGCCACTGCACTTCAGCCTGGGTGACAAGAGCAAAACTGTCTCAAAAAAAAAAAAAAAAAAGTTCCCATGAAGCTGGGGCTCTGTCCCAGACCAGTCTCAGGGCTGGCCCCACCCTAATGAAGTCATCCTGGCCTGGTCCCAATCTTGGGCTTCTCATCCCTTGGGTTCCCGCAGGGATCCGCAACCAGGCGGACAACTGCCCCAGAGTACCCAACTCAGACCAGAAGGACAGTGATGGAGATGGTGTAGGGGATGCCTGTGACAACTGCCCCCAGAAGAGCAACCCAGACCAGGTGAGGGCAGGCCAGACTCCAGCTGGGTGAGCCCCACCCCGGGTGAGCTGCAGGATTACCCAGCCCACAGCCCAGCTTAGAGCATTTCACACTGCCAGAGAAATGACCTCCCAGTCTGGGCAGCCTGGGGTGGGGGTTTCCTTGGGGTCAGGAGGACCTTCGGTGTGCGGCTGGGGTGGGTGGGAGGCTTTCTGATTTCCTCTGATTGTGGCTCCTCGCATGCTTCGCGCCCCCCGCAGGGGGATGTGGACCACGACTTTGTGGGAGATGCTTGTGACAGCGATCAAGACCAGTAAGGAGGCCGCCTAGGGTGGGCGTCCGGGTAGCCCTTGACAAAACGCTCTGGAGAGCTCACTGTCTCTGGATCCCACCTATCCACCCTAGGGACGGAGACGGACATCAGGACTCGCGGGACAACTGTCCCACAGTGCCTAACAGCGCCCAGCAAGACTCGGACCACGACGGCCAGGGTGATGCTTGCGACGACGACGACGACAACGACAGAGTCCCTGACAGTCGAGACAACTGCCGCCTGGTGCCCAACCCCGGCCAGGAGGACTCAGACAGTACGGCGGGGGCGGGGCCTGCGGCGGGGGCGGAGCCCGTGGGGGCTCCTGCGGCAGGGTCTAGGGCGGGCGGGGCCTGACCCGAGCCCACGAGGGGGTCTCCCACATCTCAGGGGACGGCGTGGGCGACGCGTGCCAGGGCGACTTTGATGCAGATAAGGTGGTAGACAAGATCGACGTGTGTCCGGAGAACGCTGAGGTCACCCTCACCGACTTCCGGGCCTACCAGACAGTCGTGCTGGACCCGGAGGGTGACGCGCAGATTGACCCCAACTGGGTGGTGCTCAACCAGGTGGGAGCGGAGTCCAAGTTGCGGGTGAGGGGATCCCAGAACCCCCACAGCGGGGCCTATGCTGAGGATGGGGTGCCTAGGGCTGCCACGGATACCCTGAGACCCTCCTTCCTTTGACCCCATCAGGGAAGGGAGATCGTGCAGACAATGAACAGCGACCCAGGCCTGGCTGTGGGTGAGAAGCGGGGAGCAGCCGGCTCAGAGGAGGGGCGGGCCCGGACAGGATGGGTGGGGCCAGAGGGGGGGCGGGCCCGGGTCAAGAAAGAGCGAGGCCGGAGGGAGCGGGCTGGGTCTGAGGATGGGCGGGGCAAAGGGGGGCGGGCCCGGGTCCAAGAAGGGCGCGGCCAGAGGGGGGCGGGCCCGTGTTCTGGAAGGGCGGGGCCAGAGAGGCGGGCCCGGTTTCAGGGAGGGCGGGGCCAGAGGGGCCCCTCCCCCGGGCTGAGGATGGGCGTGGCCGAGTGGGTCTAGACTCTGGAGGGGCGTAGACAAGTGTAGATGGGGGCGTGGCCGACTCAGGGCCCCGCGAGTGGGGATGGGGCGTGTCTGCAGGGAGATCTGGACTCAGGAGGCAGGTTCGGACTCTAGGTGCCAGATTCCGGGGGCTGGGGCTGGCATTCGGAAGGGCTACTGCTCTCTCCCATTCCTAGGTTATACTGCCTTCAATGGCGTAGACTTCGAGGGCACGTTCCACGTGAACACTGTCACGGATGACGATTACGCGGGCTTCATCTTTGGCTATCAAGACAGCTCCAGCTTCTACGTGGTCATGTGGAAGCAGATGGAGCAGACATACTGGCAGGCGAACCCCTTCCGCGCCGTGGCTGAGCCGGGCATCCAGCTCAAGGTGCCAGGGTCCTGCCTGATCTCCGTGGTCCTCATGCCCTCCCATGATCCTCCCCACAACTCTTTACAACCCTTATAGCCCCCCAACCCCCCAGCTTCATACTATGAACCTTAGAGTGCTTCCAGCTCTCCTCTGTGCTCCCACAGTCCCCAAATCCTCCCAGTTCCTTGCACAAGCCCTTGAACACTCCTAGGGTCCCTCAGGCTTCCTATGGACCCTATGCCCTCTCGCAGAGCCCTGAACGATTTTTTTTTTTTTTTTGAGATGGAATCTCACTCTATTGCCCAGGCTTGAATGCAGTGACACGGTCTCAGCTTACTGCAACCTCCATCTCCTGGGTTCAAGCAATTCTCCTGCCTCAGCCTCCTGAGTAGCTGGGATTACAGATGTGCACCACCACACCCGTCTAATTTTTGTATTTTTAGTAGAGACGGGGTTTCACCATGTCGGTTAGGCTGGTCTTGAACTCCTGACCTCATGATCCTCCCGCCTCGACCACCCAAAGTGCTGGGGTTACAGGCATGAGCCACCACACCCAGCCTCGTCCTGAACTTTTCCTTAGTCTTCAAGTCCTTCTGCAGAGTCCCCAGTCCTCCCAGACCCTGAACCTGCACATACAGACTACCAAATCCTCTCATGAGCATGCAGACCACTGCTGCCCTCCATGACCTAGCCACAAGCTCCCATTTGGCCCCCGAAGAAGGCTTCCTTGTGGGTCTCTCGTCCAGATCCCCCCTGGTTTCCTACCACCTGCTGCTCCCCACTGTCTCTCCAGGAAGGTTTCTAGGGGGCTCCAGTGGCCCACGAGGTCTCTGATCCCCTTTCCTGGGCACTGGCAGGCTGTGAAGTCTTCCACAGGCCCTGGGGAACAGCTGCGGAATGCACTGTGGCATACAGGAGACACAGAGTCCCAGGTGCGGCTGCTGTGGAAGGACCCGAGAAACGTGGGCTGGAAGGACAAGATGTCCTATCGCTGGTTCCTGCAGCACAGGCCCCAAGTGGGCTATATCAGGTGGGAACTCCACCCTCTGCAATGTGCTGGGCTGGGGACACGTAGGCCCAGGTGGAAGTCCTCTGGCCAGGCAGGGGCTGTGTGACCCTGGTCCCCTAATCTGTACAATAGGAAGCATACAGGGCAGTTAGAATGAACTTATGCTGGTCCAGGTGTGGTGGCTCACACCTGTAACCCCATCACTTTGGAAGGCCAAGGTGGGAGAATCACTTGAGTCCAGGAGTTCAAGGCCAGCCTGGGTAACATAGTAAGACCCTGTCTCTACAAAAAAAAAAGAAAAAAAAAAAATCAGGGCAGGCACAGTGGCTCATGCCTGTAATTCCAGCACTTTGGGAGACAGAGGCAGATGGATTACCTGAGGTCAGGAGTTCGAGAACAGCCTGGCTAACATGGGGAAACCCGGTTTCTATTAAAAATACAAAAAAATTAGCCTGCCATCCCAGCTACTCAGGAGGCTGAAACAGAAGAATTGCTTGAACCTGGAAGGTGAAGGTTGCAGTGAGGTGAGATCGTGCCATTGCACTCCAGCCTGGGTGACAGTGAGACTCCGTCTCAAAATAAAAAAAGAAAAAAAAATTAGCCAGGCATGGTGGCATGTGCCTGCAGTCCCAGCTACTAGGGAGGCTGAGGTCACCTGAGTCTGAGAGTCGAGGCTGCAGTAATTGCACCACTGCACTCCAGCCTGGGTGGCAGAGCAAGACCCGCAGCACACAGTGCGTATCCTAGAAATGCGGCCTCACCCAGCTTGTTCCTCAGTCTCCATTCCATGCTGCTAGCAAGCCCAGATGCTCAGCACCAACTGTGTGCAGGGCCCTTGATGTCCACCACACAGGGAAACTGAGGCCCAGGGCAGAGGCCCCACCTGCTCTGAGTGCAGCCCAGTCAGGGGGTACCCATCTTCCAGGGTTGGCCAGTGAGGTTCTGAGGGGGAAGGGCCTGGCCCAGGTCCCAGCCCCCACCCCTCACTGTCTCTGGCCCTCAGGGTGCGCTTCTATGAGGGGCCTGAGCTGGTGGCTGACAGCAACGTGGTCTTGGACACTACCATGCGGGGTGGCCGCCTGGGGGTCTTCTGCTTCTCCCAGGAGAACATCATTTGGGCCAACCTGCGTTACCGCTGCAATGGTGAGCCGAGGGTGAGCGGGGCGTGGGCGGGGAGTTTGCACACAGGCCCTGCCGGCCTTCTCAGCCCTGACCCGCCCACCCTCTCCCTGCAGACACCATCCCAGAGGACTATGAGACCCATCAGCTACAGCGAGCCTAGGGACCAGGGAGGGGACCCGCCGAGGGATGACGGCCACCCTCACCGAGGCTGGATGGGGCTCTGCACCCAGCCCCAAGGGGTGGCTGTCCTGAGGGGGAATCGAGAAGGGCTCAGAGAGGACAAAATAAAGTGTGTGTGTGGGGAACGGCACTGTGGTTTTTGCTGCAGGGAGACAGCTGGGACAGGCCTCTAAGGGAGGGTTGGGCCGGGGGACCCCACACCAAGGCCTCAGTGCTGCAGCTGCTGGTGAGTGCCAGTGGCCTGGTGGGGATGGTCCAACTGTGATTTGGTATTTGGGGAGGCCCCCAAGTCTGCCTCCTCGACCCACCCCCCTTGTGATCACGGGCCTGGATGCCAGCCATGGACAAGCTGAGACCTCTGATACAGTGTTCACCCCAGGACTCTGGGGGGTGGGTTCGCAGTGGCTCCCAGATGTGATCCCTCCCCTTGCCTGGTCCAGGGTGTGTGTGTGTGTGTATGTTTGGAAGGGCCTAGGCACCTGCCAGGTGCACCTGCCACACCCACGTGTCATCCCTGAGGGAGGAGGGAGGGGCTTGGGAAAAAGAGGAGGAGCCAGTGACGAAAACGTTGGATTTTTATTATGTTTCATTACAAAGGATGCAAAGGTACAAAGACAAAAGCGGCCGCGCCAGAGGATGGGACAGGGACGGCCGAGTATGCCCTGAGCCGCCTGCCCCCGCCCACTGTGGCCACCCACGATCACGGCCCACGGGACATCCGTGGCAAAGTATACATGCTGGGGTTGGGGGAGAGCCAGCCTGGGCACAGAGGGGCACAGGCGGGAAAAGGGCTCGGACCAGCAGGTTTGCATATATTAGTGGGACCACGCAGCCCCTTGGGGGCAGTTTCCTACTTGGGCACAGCAGGGCCAGCGGACCTTGGCTGCCAAAGCACTCCCTCCTCAGGCCTGGTGGCCAAGGCCATGGCTAAGTCCCCTTGTCCCTGGTGGGCAGAAGGTCAGAAGTGCTTGATGGCTGGGCTACGCTGGGCATGGATTGGCCCCAAATTCCAGAACACTTCAAGATGGGGGCTGCCCTCGAACCCCAACACGTGCCACCTGTCCCTGGCTCCTGGGGATGGGGTGCTGGCCAGGAGCCCAGAAGGTGGAGAGAGCCTCTGGAATCGTCGGAGCCAGCACCACCCTAAGGCCCAGCCCCTGCCCTCTATCCTGCCCAGGAGGAGCCTGGGGCCTGAGACCTGCAAGTCTGAGAAAGTGACAGGAGAGAAACTGAGGCTAGGGTCAGGAGGCACTGGCTCCTGCCCCACCCCTGCTCTCAGGACCTCCCTAGCACCCAGCCCTGGTGGTGCAGCTTACTCCACCTCCTGCTCCCAAGGGGAGAGTGGTGTCTGTGGCCAGTGGGGATGGGTGGACACCTGTGCCACATGGAGGGGTATGGGGTGCCTGACCCCTGCCTGGTCAGGACCCCAGAAGGCCAAGAGCCATGGAGAACAGGACACTTGGCTCAGGTGGAGCTGGCTGGGGAACATCCCAGGGACCCCCAAATCACATGCCGCAAGATCCCCCCAGGAAATGGAAGCCCCTGGTCCATGGTGAATGGGGGTAGAAAGAGGCCCAGGTGTCCACGTAGCCCAGGCAGGCCTCCCAGGGTAAGGGAGGGGCCAAGTCTTGTCCCTGCTTTCAGGCTGTACGCCCTGTCCCAGAGCAGCACCTGCAGGTGACAGGCCAGGCCCGGGGCACCTCTGTGCCATCGGTTTGTGGCCCTTGCACTGAGAGCCCGTGTCCCACTCCACATGGTGGGCCCCTCGGCCTCTGAGACGGCTCCATCAGGACCCAGTGAAGGTGATGGGAGCTGCTGTTTTCAGGGCCAGGCGACAGAGGACCCCCGAATACTGCTGGACTTCATTCTGCCAGCCTATCCCTGGTCGGGGGTGCTCCTTGGAAATACAGAAACCTCAGGAAGCAGGTCGCAGCCTGAGTTAGGGTGTTTGTTTAAAAACCAGCTCAAGGCCCGCCTGAGGGGGGCGCCAGAGCACCCTCTAGGGATGGGTCCTGCCGAGGATGGTCAGGCCTGGGACACTGGGCAGAAGTGGCTCACACCTGTAGCCCCAGAACTTTGGGAGGCCAAGGAGGGAGGATTGCTTGAGCCCAGGAGTTCAAGACCAGCCTGAGCAACACAGCAAGATCCCATCTCTGAAAAAATAAAATAGAAGCAACCCATGGGCCTCTGGCAGGCTCCTGTCCCAAGTGACCGGGCTAGGGTGAGGTCCCAGCTCAGAGCCCCCAAGCCTGACATCCAGGCCCCAGCAGGAGGGATGGATGGACATGGGGGACCCTCCTGGCTAGGGGTCCTCCTGGGAGCTTGGCCCCCTGAAAAAATCAGACCAAACACACCAATGTCAATACCTTCCTCCCCAGAGCTGAAAACCCATGAGCAGGGCCCTGATGCAGGCAGAGAACCCTCTTCCCTGGAGGACTCAGAGAGAGGCTGACCTGGGGCTCCACCCTCCACTTACAAGACTTGCCACCCTGGGGAGTGATGGAGGGAAACAGGCAGGTGGGGACATCATGCTCTCAGGAGAGCCCTGCCTGAATGTCACCTTAGGGGACCGGTGTGCACAGCGCAGGGGCTGCAGAAGCCAGGAGCACGTGGGTGGGTCGGGGAGCATCCTCTGACCCATTGTGGACCAAGTATCTGGGCCTGACCAAGGACGTAGGCAGTGGGTCTCTGTACACACCACAGCCCCGTATGTGGGCCCGTCCCTCAGGAAGCAGCTCGTCAAATCACAACATGTTCACATCACAATGCAAAAGTCTGATTCCCTTAAGCCGTCTTGTTTCAGAAAGTCTTGGCAACTCAAGAATATGTTAGTGATATTTTTAAAAGCCCACAGGTACACACACACACAAAAGGCTGTGATGCAGAGCCTGGGAGGCCTGCCCAGGTCCAAGAGGGGCGTGAACCCTTCTGGAACGCAGGGACACCCGGCTCCTGGCTCCTGGCTGGGCCCCACCTTCCCTGGAAGCTCAGACCTCAGTCTACCAGGTTCTCATTGGAAGAGAACTCTGTAACGGACCGAGGTCTTCACCTTAGCACAGTGACACCATGCACCTGGCCTCAGGATGCTGGAAACGGGCTTCGGGCCTGGGACGCTCTGAGGTGGGGCCCGTCCTCTACTAACTATACCAAAGACCTGGGGATAAGCAGTGGCACCGGCCGGAGGCTGGACAGATGGAGAATGAGGGCTGACAAGGTTTCCTAGTGAGTCCTCAATGCCTTGTTTTGAAAACCGCATCCAGGCGGGTTGCTTGTAATTTTAAGGCCATTTTTTAAAAGTCCCACATACAAGTCTAATGGTAATCAAACTCTCCTATGTACATATAGTTTTTCTTTAAAAAAAAAAAGTCCCCACTGTCTGCCTCCAGCCTCCGTTGTGGTAAAGGAAAGGGGTCTTGACCCAGACAGACACCGTGTCCCCCACCCTGCACCTCGGCACAAGACGGCAATGGGAGCGACTGACCAGGAGCCTTCTGAGCGGCCGCTTGCACGTATGCTAACGGCGATGCCTGGGAGAGGAGGGACAATGGCCGCTAGGATCAAACCCGTCCCGAGGATGGAGGCCAGGGTGCCCAGGACCCCAGTGAAAGCGGCGGCCATGACATCACAAAGAAATGCACCCAGCAGAAGGCGCTGGCCAGGCAGGCAGGGGCGAGTGAGAGCCACAATGCAGTTTTGGGGGGATCAGAACAGCGGTTCCTATTCCAAGAACAACAGAAAACAAAGCCAGCCCGGATGCCTCCCTCGAAGGGACCGTGGTATGGAGGGGCTAGGAGGCTCCCAGGTGCCCCGACTGTCATCCTGGCTTTGGAGGTGCTCCTGAAACCTGCCACTAAAACGCACTGTGTCTCCATGTCCACCTGCCACGACTCTGAGCTGCCAAGGGGTGGTTGGCAGACCACGCTGCCTGAAAGAGGGGGCGTGGCTCGGAGCCAGAGGGTTGGCAGGGAGGGGACAAATGCCAGCCCCACTCGGGTTCTCAGGGAGGACCATGGGACTCATCTTGGGGACCCTCGCTCCCTGCCAGCTCTCGTAGAGCAGAGAGGTCTCGGCCACCACTGGTCACCGGGTCTTCACACACACATATAAGGACTGGCAGGCACCTCTGGGAGAGGCCGGCGGGGCTAGGTCTTCAAGAGACCCTCAATAAACATCAAGGCCCCTTTACAGAAGTCGGGAATGCGGCCCTGGCAGAGGTGCCTCTGGCTACTGTGAGCTCCTGCCAAGTCCCTGTCCGGCCCTGCCCGACTAGCCCTTTCATTTTGAGATAACTTGGGGTGAAACCCAAAAGCCAGACACACCGCTTAGACTCAGGTGGGTGGCGGGCTGCTCCGGGGCATGTGGCCTCCAATTCCAGTTAGCTTAAAAACAGGTAAGGCTGGATTTCTGGATTAAAAACATGCTCTCAGGAAAGCGTTGCCTTAAAGGTTAAGCGACTCATCTACAACCAAAATGTAAATAGAAACCAAAAGGAAAAAAACCACAGTGAAACTCACGCAGCCGCCTCTCCCTGAACCTTAAATTGGGACAGCATGTGTGGCAGGACGGGTGACCAGGACAGGAGGGTTGGAAAGCCCCAGGAGGGAACCCTGCCTCCGCCTGTGAGCCCTCACGGGCCTCCCGGTCATTTCCCGGCAAAGGCGGCCATCGAAGGGCCTGCCTGGATGAGGCAGGGCTTGAAGGGAATGGAGACAGGGGCGAGGAGGGCCGTGGGGTCTGCCGCCCCGCATGCTCTGTCCACTTTGCGCCTGCCGCGGTGGATGCCAGGGCTCTGTGTGTGCTCAGAAATATAAAAGACAGCCGTCAAAATAGTGTTTATTTCACTTTGCGTCTGCCCCGTGCTCTGGCGCCTCCTCCCTGGGGCAGCGTGTAGGGCTCACTCTCTATCTGACCATGGGCTGGGGGTGGCGGATGGGTTGGGGGACCAGGAACTGAGGAAGGCAGTGAGAGCTGGACAAACAGTCGGAAAATGCACCGCGGCCCACAGCGCCGGCGGACCATGCGCGCCCCTCCCTTGAGCCTGCCCGCCATGCCAGGAGCTGACACTTCCCACATCATACAGGGGACGACAGCTCAGGCCCCGGGGCTGGGGGCGAGGGAGCCGATGCAGAGAGGGTCTGTGGGGGCGGGGGGCTCATGGCCTCCCATCCCAGCCCTGCCCCGGGTGGGCGGGTGGGTGGACGGCCCAGCTCGCAGCCTCGCGATTGGGCTTTGCGGGAGGTGGACGACCGGGGGCGGGCTGGCAGGGGGCGCTTGGCGGCATTGCAAGCTCAGAATCACAAGCTCGGCCGTTGGCGAGGGACGGAGCACGGCCGTCCCCGGGCTGGGGAGGCGCCGTCGGGACAGCTGAGCGGCAGGTGCCGGGCATGCCCGCTCACAGGCGGTCCATCCGGAAGGTGTCCTCAGTGGCTGGGTCAGCCAGAACCATGTCGGGATCGTTGAGCATGTGCAGTCCGTCAAGGGTCAGGGGGTCGATCTTGAGTTCATCCAGGGGAAACTGGCTGTCGGAGTCGAAGCTGACGTCGCCGACCCCGGCCAGAGAGCTGGTCAGTTCTTTAGAGAGGCTGGGGGGGGACTCTCCTGTCACTGGGGATGGGATGGGGACAAAAGGCACTGCTTAGCCCTGGCTCCATCGCCCGCATCCATGGGCCAGCCCAGGCATGCCCAGCGGGTGACTCTGTCCCCTGGGGATGCTGGCACTGCCTGGGGAGATTCTGGCTGTCATGACTGGGGGCGGGGATGCTACCAGCACACGAGATGCTGCTCAGCACCCTACAGTGCCTGGACCTCAGAGACCAGCCTGGCCCCGAGAGCAGCAGCACCAGAAGCCTCAGGCCAAGGGCTGTGTTACGGACGCAGGTCAGCACGATCTGGCAGGAGCAGCATGATCGGCATGAGTCACTGAGAAACAGTCTGGGGCAACCGTGGGGACCCGGCTGCTGCTAGGGCTGAAGGGAATCCTCGGTTCCTCCACAGAGACCTGGGATCAAACCTGGGCTTCAGCCTGTACTTAAGTTTCCAGGTCTGAGAAATGGGTCTGAAAGGCCCTGTCTTTCTGGGCTCTTGAGGCCACCCCAGTGGTCGGATTCCTAGATCCTTCTTCTCCTGAGTCTGCGGCTGGCTCGTCCACCCTTGAATTTCTCGCTAACTGCTGCCTACGCCTATGGGTGGCACTCAGAGCCCAGGCCACAGTCGGGGGGCACTAAATATAGACCCTTCCAGCCTGGAAGAGGCCAGTGAGGACCGCCAGGGGGTGTCACACTCATTTCGGCAGCGCTGGCTCGTAAGGGAATCACCTTCTTCATGGGAGAGAACCAGCTGGGGTGACCGTGGGAGCATCTGGGCTCTGTGAGAGACAGAGCTGGGTCTTCCTGACATGTGCCATGCTGGATGGGGCTGGCTTGTCCTCAGGACCCCGGGCACTGTGCTCAGACTGCTTGGGCGTGGTGGTCACAGTGCCTCACAGTCCTTACCCGTCAGCTGTCTGCCCAGGCTGGGTTCACCAGGCAGGGCGGATCCCATTGCCGTCCATAGCTCTGGCGCACACTCAGCTGACAGGTCAATGGCCTTGGCAGGGGACATCGTGCACACCCAGCTGTCTGACCTTTACCCGGGCTGTGTAGCCAGACAGGAGGCCGCCGAGAGGGGAATAGTGTTCAGCTCTATCCCATGCACAGGGCACCTGGTCCAGGGGCGTCTCCCTGGCCTGAGGTCCAGGTGCGAGTCAAGTTGGGGAAAGAGGGAGCATGGCCTCCTCAGGCCCCCGTCGAGCTTGGGTTACAGCCCCAGCTCTGTCAACCCTCCTGCTGTGGGGCAGGGGTCTCTGGCTGTCTCTGCATGGGCTGAGGCCCCGTGGGGCGCCACACGCGCGCCCTGGCCTGGCCTCACCTGTGAGGATGATATTGGGGATGCCACTGTGGCTGGCGTAGCCCAGCTGCTGTGAGTCCGGCAGGCTCCCGTGGCTGCCCGTGAGGCCCATCATGGCCGCCTGCGAGTAGTTGAGCGTGGAGCCGGGGCTGTACAGGCTGCTGGAGCTGATGGCATTCTCCATCATGTTGAATTGCTCCAGCTGGGAAGGGAGGCATACCAGGCCGTGAGGGCCACTGTGGGCCTGCCTGGCTGGCCTGCCCGCAGCTGGGGATGCCGCCCCTGCAGGATGCCCAGCACCCAGGCTGCTGAGCACAAGCCCCGCTCCCCCCGTCACCTGGGGCCTCCTTGCCACCCCGAAGGCCGGCTGGATGAATGGATGAATGAATGAGCGAGTGAGTGAGCAGGCCTTGGATGCCCACGATCCTGGCCTCCACAAAGAGCCAGCAAGACCTCCCGGCAAACCCACGTGCATGGTCCATGCCGAGGCACCGTGTCCACAGCCACGGTCCCATCCCTGCCTGGCCCAGCGTTTGCTGCCTGCCCCTTACCCTCCGTCCTTGGCCTCTGCTCTGTGGGTGGGCGCAGACACCAGGAGGCAGCACTAGGCCACCCCTGCTGGGCCCTCAGCCTCTGTAGCCCACAGATGGGAAAGGGCGGGGGCCGAGAGGTAAAGCCAAGGGGCAGGCAGGGGCCCCCCAAGAGCACGTGCAGCCCTGACTCGCAAGGCCCAGGTCCTAGCGAGCGTCTGTCCTGGGCACCGGCAGGCTGGCAGCCTGGGCGCCCGCTCACCTGGTGGGACAGAGCATTGGCCTGCCTGGCCGCCATCTGCTGCTCATAGTACGCGTCCCCAAACACGCTGCCCAGGGTGGAAGTGTGCTGCAGACAGAAGAGAGGCCTGCTGTGGTCATGGCCCAAGGCCAGGCGGGATGTTGGCACCTCCCAAGCCTGGCTGGAAGACAAGAGGCCCCTGGAACCTCCCAGATGGCGCCTGGGATGGCAGGAGGCTGATGATTATGCTTATTTTGGGGTTCTGGGGGTGCTCCCCATTCTGGATGCTCCTGGGAGGCTTCTGCACCCTGAACGTCTCTCCCCAAGGCCCCACTCCCATCTCTCCTCAACTCCATTTCCATTATAGGGAAGTTGGGGGCCACAGGGATGGGAACCCCCACCCAACAGGGCCCAGAGAACGTGTCACCGTGGCCAAGGCAGGAGTTGCCCAGGCGCCACATTCAGGAAGGAAGGTGCACTTAGTGACTCCTGAAGGGTCCCCAGGGAGACAAAGGACAGGACGCAGGTCACATACATAGACAGGACGGGTGCGGAGCCAGCCATCAGCCGAGAGTGCACAGGACAGGCACAGGGAGAGCCCCCGCCCGGGGCTGCAGACCTGCGGGACCCGGAGCCCTACTCTTGCTCTCCGAGGCCAGAGGGGCTCTCAGAGGAAGGGGGACAGGGGCTGTCCCTGTGGCAGGAGCAGGGGCGAGGGGACCTTATGTTTGGTGGAGATGCTAGAAAGGGGACACTCAGAGCCCCTGCCCAAGAGATGATGGGATGAGGCCCGGCTGGGGTGTGGAGGTGAGGAGAGCGGTAGCCGCTAGCGAGGCCCTGGGAACCACAGCTGCAGTGTGACCTTGCGGCTGCCAGAGGCCTGGTAGCGTCCCAGGGGCTGGGAGCTCCAGCTGGTGTCCCCTCCATGGGACATGGGGGCCTCAGGAAGCCACTGCCCCACAGCCACTCTCAGAACTACAGCGTAAGGCATGTGCCCTGCAAGCCATCCTGGTGAGTGTCTCCAGAGACCCAACGCCCTGGCTCTCCTCCCCATCTGAGCTTTGTTCTAGAGCGATCCCCTTTGTTCCAGAATGATCCCAAAGCCCTGGCTCTCCTCCCCATCTGAGTTTTGTTCTAGAGCGATCCCCTTTGTTCCAGAATGATCCCAAAGCCCTGGCTCTCCTCCCCATCTGAGCTTTGTTCTAGAGCGATCCCCTTTGTTCCAGAATGATCCCAAAGCCCTGGCTCTCCTCCCCATCTGAGTTTTGTTCTAGAGCGATCCCCTTTGTTCCAGAATGATCCCAAAGCCCTGGCTCTCCTCCCCATCTGAGCTTTGTTCTAGAGCGATCCCCTTTGTTCTAGAACAATCCCAACGCCTGGGTCTCTGGCCTCAGTCCCAGAGAGGGGCCAGCCACAAACCCACCGGCTGCTCCTGGTGGTCAGCGGGCGGTCAGCAGAGACAGACACACTCACCCTGGGGTGAGAGGGCTTGTGAGGTTGGACGTCCCATTCAAACGTCAGGGAAGAGGTAAAGAGCGGAGCCGAGGAAGGGAAGGCCAGTCTGTGTGGCAAAAACATTATCTCGGCCCTAAAAATCAATAGCTCCAGGTTTTGGAAACAAGGACTGCAAGCTTATGGCTGGGTTTGCCAGAGTCGAGGGAGGCAGGCAATAGGTAAGTAACATCATGGCTGCCCTGGGTCTGGACCAAAGCTGGGTCTCTCCTGGGGCTCGGGGTGTGGGGTGGCACCAAGCTTCCAGGATGGCACCTGATCCTGTCCCGGTGGCCTTGGGCTCAGAGTGGCCTGGCACACGCCGGGGGAGGTTGAGGTTCCCCTGTGAGGCTGCCATGGGACGAGATGGGATGCAGGGATGAGAGCTTCCCTCTACCAGGGACAGGGATGGCTTCAGAGCACTGGGCACAGCAGTGGCTCTAGGGGCTTGCCAGAAAGGTGAGCTTGGAAGTCGGGAGACAGCCATAACCTGGACCAAATGGCAGCTGCCTGTGGCCCAGGGCTGTGCTGGGTTGCCCAGTGTGTCTACTTGAGGTGGCACAGCAGGTGTGGGGTGGCCTGGGCCTGTGGGACCGATGGGCGAGTCCTCAGAGACCCAGCGCAGAGGGAAGGCAGGTCTGCTTCCGCCTAGAACCATCTGCCCCTGAGAGCCCCATCCTGACGTCCCCACAACTCTGTGAGCCACCTGCCTCCCGCACCAGCACATGACGGACAGGACACACAGATAAGGGCTTGCCGAGACTGTCACTTGCTCGCTGCCTGGCAGACTAACCCACTTTGGCTTGGGGCCCAAGAATTCATCAACCATTCCAGCAACTCTCTCATGAGAGAAACTGGTTCGACCCCTAATTCCTGCCCTGTCTCACAAACAAGACAGACCTCATGCAGGAACCAGCCCCATCTGGGCTGCCCGCCTGAGACGGGCCCTAACTGCTGCTTCTGCAGCCCCTCCAGCCCCGTCCCCAACACAATGAGACCAGACACAGTGCTAGAGCCCAAGAGCCCAGAGGGCTGGTGTGGACAGACCAAGCGTGTGCAGATACCAGGCTGACCCCTATGCTGCCTTGAGACCACTGCTGCCACCCCAACTCGCCTCCAGAGCAGGGGACTACAGGTGGTGGCCCCAGATGGCCCTCGTGTGAGCTGGAGACAGGACAGAGGTCTTCACTGTCCTTTTCTGTGGCGCTCACAGTTTGTGCCCTGGGACAAAGGAGTCCAACCTCAGTCCTGGAGGGTGACTCTTCTCTCTAGCTGGGAAGCAGGGGTGAGAGCATCCCTCTACCAGGCACGGGGATGGCTTCAGGGTCCCGAGCACAGCAGTGGCTCTAGGGGCTTCTCAGCTTGGTGATGTTTTGTGGATGAGATGGTCCCAGGATAGTGGGGTTCTGGGGAGGCACTGCTGCCAGGATAAAGAAGTTGGGGGCCGGATGTTGACCTGTGGGCACCCCTTCTCCCCCGACAGACATTCTGGATGGAATGTGGGGTCTACTGGCCACAGCTGATGTCCCAGTAGAATACAAGGAGGAGAGTGGGGAGCCAGGCTGGGCGCTTCCACCAGCCATGGACCAGGCTAGAGGGGCATTCCGAGGAACCCCCTGGGGGCGGCTGTGTCATCAGCGAGCCGGGGTTTTACAGTGCTGGGTACAGCAGGAAAAGCCAGGGCTGATGAGTGACGTCTGAGGCCAGCCTCAGTCCCCTGTCTGTGGAATGGGGACAAGGGCCCTGAAGAGTCAGCACCTACCCTGCATGCCGGCCAGCCACCTCAGCTGCACCCCCAAGCTGGGGGAGCCCCCAAAGCTCCAGCCCACGCTCTGGGCAGCATACTGGGTGTAGAGGACATCATCCCTGGGCCACTCAATGGGGACGTTTAGGCGGGGCCATGGCAGCTCCTGGGAAGGGGTGTGTGGGGTCCCTGTCCTGGTACAGCCTGGTGGGTGCACAGCTCAGGTCCGACGGAGCGGACAGGATGAATGGAGCGATGTGTGAGGACAGACAGTGGGCAGGGAACACAGGGGACGTGAACGAGGCGAGCGCGGTGCCACAGGCCAAGGAGGAGGCGGCGTCCCTTACCTGCGGGGAGCTCCCTGGGGAGAAGCCTTGATTGGAGACTGGCGAGGTGGGAGACTGGTTGGCCGGGGAGCCGGCGCTAGTGCGGTACTGCTGCAGAGCCGGTGCCTGCGACGACAGACAGGTCAACATGCCGCCGCCCAGCTGCCCCAAGCCCAGGGCTCCAGTCCCTGCTTTCCAGGAGCGGCCTGTGCCCTGATCGGCCCCCAGGCAGGTCCCCCCACCCCTCACACCTTGGTGATGGGTGCCACCCCAGTGGTAGGCAGAGGAGCCTGGGCAGCTGCAGGAAAGGTGGGTCCCTGAGCCCTATCTGCCTGAGACCTCAGGGGAGCTGCCCCCAAACCCAGCTTCCCAGGAAGGATCGGTGTGGAGGGTGAAGAACTGTCAATCCTTCCTCGAGCTACAGGAGGGCGATCAGAGGGTTGGCCCTGACTCAGCAGGCTCAGAGCCAGAGCGTAACATGTGCACTCTCATGCATGCACACCCAAAGACACACCCACGTGCACACACATCCACACTCAAATGTACACACCCACGCAGGCACACCCAAATACACACACCTTCACATGCACACACATGCACATATCCACACATGAATGTACACACCCACAGGCGCACATACTCATATGCACACCCAAGCACCCACAAAGGCACACACAAGTGCACACATCCATAGACACACCCATACAAATATACACACCCATGCAGGCACACCCACACCCAAATATACGCACCTCCACATGCACAACCCCACACACGTGCATACATCCACACATGAATGTACACACCCATACATGCAGTCATGCACACCCAAACACATGTACACATCCACACAAACGCATACATCCACACCAATAACCACATGCACACATGTCCACAAATGTACATACCCCACACATGCACACCCACACACAGACATAACCATACACAAATGTACACACCCACGCATGCACACCCACACCCATATACACACCTTCGCATGCACACCCCCACACAGGTACACATATCCACACACAAATGTACACACTTGCGTACACATCCAAACACAAATGTACACACCCTCACAAGCACACCCACTTACGTGTACACACCACATGCACACATTGCACATATAGCCACATGCCAAAATGTACACACCCACACAAATGTACACACATCCACAAATGTACGCACCTACATGCACACATACCCACACATGTACACACCCACATATGCACACACCCAATGTATACACATCCACAAACGTACACACCTACACATGCACACACTGCACATATACCCACACACCAAAATGTACACACCCACCCGTGCACACACCCACAAATGTACACACATCCACAAATGTGTACACCCCCACATGCACACACAAATGTGCACACACCCACAAATGTACACACCCACACATGCACACACCCAATGTACATCCACAAATGTACATACCCACATGCACACACCCAATGTACACACATCCACAAATGTACACACCCACACATGCACACAATGTGCACACACCCACAAATGTACACACCCACACATGCACACACCCAATGTACATCCACAAATGTACACACCCACATGCACACACCCAATGTACACATCCACAAATGTACACACCCACATGCACATGTGCACAGATCCACACACACGCATGCACACCCATGCAGGTGCCCACCACATATACCATACCTACCCACTTGTGCACACCCACACATGTGTCCACAGACCCACACACACACACCCCCATGGGCAGGGAATACCCAAGGCTGGGTGGGCGGGCGCTGCTCCTGCTCCTGGCTCTCCCTCGCTGTGTGCCCTGGGCAGGTCCCTGGCTCTCTTAGCTCCCAAGTCTGTAGCCCAACAGATCTGGCCCGCCACTGGGGTGGGGACTGAGTGAAGGCTTGCCAGTAGCCCAGGCTCCCAGCACGGGGCAGTCACTATCCCTGCTCTGCTGCAGGACAAACCTGCCTGGATTATGCTGTCTGAGACCTCCAAGGGGCAGTCACTATCCCTGCTCTGCTGCAGGACAAACCTGCCTGGATTATGCTGTCTGAGACCTCCAAGGGGCAGTCACTTCCTCCACCTGCTTGAGGGACGAAAGGCCTGGGCATCTCCCTGCTATGACCCAGGCCGGACCCTGGATTCAGACCACACTCTGGTCCTGGCCCGGCCCAGCCATGCGGTGCGCCTGCAGACAACTCACCTGCCCTGCCCGAGCCTATCACTGAACGAGCCCAGCCTGACCGGTCCAGGGCCTATAACTGCTCTGTCTCCCCCCATCCTCAGTGGTCCTTTATGGGCAGTTTAGGTAGGGCCTGAGTCCAGGTGGGGTGGGGTGGGGTGGGGCAGGCGGTAGCCGTGAGCTCGCCCAACAGGGTGCAGGTGACGGAGGTGCCAGCACGGTCACTTAGGGATGACTGACTTGGACCTTCCGAGAGTTGGAAAGGACAAAGTGATCAGAGGGAAATTCTCATTCAGGTGAGTCTGTGCAGAAACTCAGTCTCCCTGTACCTCCAGGAGGCCGGAAGTCCTCGAAGGGGGGCAGGAAGCCATCTTTCTTGCTGGGGGTGCTGGGCATGAATGCCCTGACCTGAGCGCCCTAGAGGGGTGGTCCCCGTACCTGGCCCAGACGCTTTGGGCCTCCAACAACCACCCAGCTCCAGGGTGAGGCCCCACCTTGGGAGCCTCCCCTACGACCTGCTGCGTTTCCACCAAAGCAAAGACTTGAGCCCTTTCCCACGGGGGGCCCTGGGTGGTGCCCTCCGAGGGGGCAGAGCAGCTTGGGAACACGGGTCTCTACCTGTAGGCTCACCTGCCTACCCTGCCCAGCCCTGGTGGCTATTCTTCACATAGCACACCATGTTTGGAGGACATTTAGCCTGGGGTTGGCAGCTGGGGTCAAGTGGGAGGGCTTGTTGTCCCCCAAACGCAGGTCCCTGCTTCCCTGGATGTGGCCCAAAGCAGCTGTTTCCCAACCCGCCCCCAGCACTGGAGCAAGCAGGTAGAAGTGTGCACAGTCAGGAAGGTCTGTGGGTACAGGGGTCAGCACCTCGTACCCAGTACCCAGTCCTGGCCTGCCTGAGCCTGGCCCTGGGCAGAAGATTCCATGGTCTGAGTTATGGCCCCCGGCCCTGGGTCCCAGGCACTGTGTCTCATGGGCCACTGCTTCTTGAGCTGGCTTCGGCCATCCTTCCCTGGTAAGCTCATGTCATCCCCTGGCCTTTGGGAGCCTGCACCCAAGCCCCAGAACACTGTGCTTTTCTCACCTCCAAGGAAGCCTGGCTTTGGGTGGGAGGGTCCCGAGAGACCAAGAGGGGGTACCTGGCAGTTAAATATGGAGTGGCCCATTGTGGGTGGAGTCTGGGGCCAGCCACCTGCTTGTGCCCCAGTTTCTCTATCTCTTTTTTTTTTTTTGAGACAGAGTCTTGCTCTGTTGCCCAGGCTGGAGTATAGTGGTGCCATCTTGGCTCACTGCAACCTCCGCCTCCCAGGTTCAAGCGATCCTTCTGCCTCAGCCTCCCAAGTAGCTGGGATTATAGGCGCCTGCCACTGTGCCTGGCTAATTTTTGTATTTTTTTTTTTAGTAGAGATGGGGTTTTGCCATTTTGGGCAGGCTGGTCTTGAACTCCTGACCTCAGGTCATCCTCCCTCCTCAGCCTCCCAAAGTGTCATGATTACAGGCGTGAGCCACCACGCCCAGCCCAGTTTCCCCATCTCTATGGGTAGTGACAGTCTCAGCTTGATTCCAAGGGGTAGCCCCATGGAGTGCCGGGCTGGGCAGTGTTCGCTGGGGTCCTGGCCCCTGGCCCATGCAGTAACTCGACTGTTCTGCATCCTCCAGGCTGTCCTCCCCAAGATCCCCAGCCAGGCCCCAAAGGACCCCATGCTGGGCTTACCGAGGCAATGTCGATCCCCATTGATGGCTGGCCGGGGTTCTCTGGGGGGGACTGGGGGAGAGAGGATGGTACCGTGACTGCGAGCGGGGGTGGCTGTGGCCCACGAGTCAGGCTGGCGCTGGGCAACAGGGGGCCACCGGGGGGCAGGCGGACGGATGCCTGCGGGGGTGGTGGGGGTGGCGGCTGCTGGGACGCTGGCGGAGGGGGCGGCGGGGGCTGGGGCTGTGGCGGTGGCTGCTGGGAGCCCGCCTGGGTGAAGAAGGCATAGGGCAGCTGCTGCTCCAGAGACAGGGCATCCATGGCCACGGCCTGTGGGAGAGATGGGCATCAGGCGGGGCGGGCCCTGGCTGCCAATGCCTGTTCCCCTCGGGCCCCCACAGCCTGGCATGCTCAGCAGGCGGGTGGAGGGGCCCTGTGATCATAGGTAGCCCCTGGGCTGGGTGCTCCTCATGATGAGGGAGGCCAGGCTAGAGAGGTGGGCCTCACCCAGGGCCCCAGGGGGTCAGCTGGAGCTGGACAGGCCTGAGCTCCTGCAGTTCCTTGCACTTACATCCCCACTACATGCCACGAAGCTCAGGCAAGACACGGGATGGCCACACCTGCTGGCTCAGTGAGCGGCCAGTTCTCAGCCCCTGTGGGTGCTGTCGGGAGACCTCAAGTGATCCACCTGCCTTGGTTTCCAAACCCTCCCCCCTGCCCGAAGCCTTGCCTGCTCTGAGGATACTGGAGACACCAGCCTGGCCCTCACCAAGGGCTGGCTCAGGGCCTTCTCAGAGATGGAAAGAGTAAAATCAGTGGGAGGGAAGTGTGTGACATTCGCTGAGTCTGTGGAAACTCAGCCAGGGGCTACCATGCTGACAGTCCTTGGGGAAGGTGGGGGTTCCTGCCCTCTAAGAAAGGCTGAGCGTGCCCAGGAACTATGGGACAGAAACCACTCAGCAAGATGCCCAGCCTCTGAGAAGAGAAAGGAGGTTCCAGATAGAGAAAGGGGCAGGTGTCAGATTGAAACAGCCTAGCTCACGAAGAGGCTGAAGACACAGCTGCCAGGAGCCAGCGCCCACAGATCTGTCTGGGTCTTGATCTGAATAAGACAATTTTGTAAGCAGACAGAAGATGGGGGCTGAGGGGCAGGGAGAAATGGAGTCCAGGCCAGGCATTGCCAGGGAACTACCATTAACTTCGTTGTAGGTGGACGGTGCCACTGTGGTTATGTTAAAAACAGACAAGTGGTGGGCGCGGTGGCTCACATCTGCAATCCCAGCACTTCGGGATGCTGAGGCGGGGGATCACTTGAGGTCAGGAGTTCGAGACCAGCCTGGCCAACATGGCAAAACCCCATCTCTACTAAAAATACAAAACTTAGCTGGGTGAGGTAGGCACACGCCTGTCATCCCAGCTACTCAGGAGGCTGGCACAAGAATCGACTGAACCCAGGAGGCGGAGGCTGCAGTAAAGTCAAGAGCACGCTGCTGCACTCCAGCCTGGGCAAGAGTGAGACTGTCTCAAAAACAGTAATAAAACAAAAATTAAAAATGGCTGGGTGCAGTGGCTCAGGCCTGTAATCCCAGCACTTTGGGAGGTCGAGGTGGGCAGATCACGGTCAGGAGATCAAGACCATCCTGGCTCATATGGTGAAACCCGTCTCTACTAAAAATAACAAAGTATTAGCCAGGCATGGTGGCGCGCACCTATAGTCCCAGCTACTTGGGAGGCCGAGGCAAAAGAATCGCCGAGATCGTACCACTGCACTCCAGCCTGAGTGACAGAGTGAGACTCCGTCTCAAAAATAAAATAAAATAAAACAATATTTAAGACATAATGTTCTCTGTTAGAGTTTTTTGTTTTGTTTTTAAAAAGACAAAACGGATAAATTTCTAGAAATGCACAAATGACCAAAAGTGACTCAAGGAAGAACAGAAAACCTGAATAGCCTTATAAGAAGTAAGAAGAAATTGCAAATTTCCCAACAGATTTGAGCTAAGATGCAGGTGGCTGCACTGGTGATTTTACCAAACTCTTTTTTTTGAGATGGAGTTTCGCTCGTTACCCAGGCTGGAGTGCAATGGCTCACTGCAACCTCCGCCTCCTGGGTTCAGGCAATTCTCCTGCCTCAGCCTCCCAAGTAGCTGGGATTACAGGCACACGCCACCATGCCCAGCTAATTTTTTGTATTTTTAGTAGAGACGGGGTTTCACCATGTTGACCAGGATGGTCTCGATCTCTTGACCTCATGATCCACCCACCTCGGCCTCCCAAAGTGCTGGGATTACAGGCGTGAGCCACCACGCCCAGCCTTTTCTTTTCTTTTTTTAAGACATGGGGTCTCACTGCATTGCCCAGGCTGGACTCAAACACCTGGCTCATGCAATCTTCCCACTTCAGCCTCCCAAGTACCTGGGACTACAGGAATTTATCATTATGCCCACTTAATTCTACCAAACATTTAAAGAGGAATTAAAAATGCTTCTGAAAAACGAAGGAGAAATGAACATTCCTAACTCACTCTATGAAGCCGCACTGATGAGGCAACAAAGAGGGAGTCTCAATTGCTAAAATCAGAAAATGAAAATGGGAATTTTGCTACCGACTTTGGGTACATGAAGGATTACAAGGCCGGGTGTGGTGGCTCACATCTGCAGTCCCAGCACTTTGGGAGGCCAGGGTGGGCGGGTTGCATGAGGCCAGGAGTTTGAGACCAGCTTGGTCAACATGGCGAAACCCCATCTCTATCACCAAAAATTAAAAAAAAAATTAGCTGGGCATGGTGGCAGGCGCCTATAATCCCAGCTCCTCAGGAGGCTGAGGCACAAGAAGTGCTTGAACCTGGGAGGTGAAGATTGCAGTGAGCCAAGATCACACCACTGCACTCCAGCCTGGGTGACAGAGCGACACTCTGTTTCAAAAAAAAAAAGAGAGAGATTACGAAAGAGTATTATAAGCAATTTTCTGTCAATAAGTTGGACAGCAAAGACAAAATGGATAAATTCCTAGAGACACACAAACTACCCGAAGAAGTAGATAAGCAAATACAGCACACTGAAAAATAAAAAGCTAAACTCCCTTTTTTTTTTTTGAGACAGGGTCTCACTCTATCTCCCAGGCTGGAGTGCAGTGGTGTGAACGTGCTCACCACAGCTTCCACCTCCTGGGCTCAAATGATCCTCCCATCTTAGCTTCCCTAGTAACTGGGACCACAGGCATGCACCACCATGCCCGGATAACTTTCTCAATTTTTTGCAGAGATGGGGTTTCACCATGTTGGCCAGGCTGGTCTCGAACTCCTGACCTCAAGTGATCCACCTGCCTCAGCCTCCCAAAACGCTGAGATTACAGGCCTGAGCCACTGTGCCCAGCCTGAAAATTTAATAATAAAAATTAAAAGTATTGGGAGCATTCTCAAGATTTTGTGGCCTCCTGGAAGGAGTTCCAGAAGGCCTTCCAAGTGGCAGAGCTGGGCCTCCACCTTTCCCTTTCCCCCCTCCCACCTGCCCCCCACTTTGCCCTCGCACCTGAGTGATGGGTGACAGTGGGGATAGGGTGGGCGATGCCTGCTGACGCCTCGCCTCTGTGCTCAGGGACAGGGGGCTGACGCCGGCTGGGCGGTGCTGCGGAGAGGATCCAGGTGTGCTCATCCCTGGAAAGGAAGTGGGAGAGAAGGAGAGTGGGTATGAGACTGATCGCTAAGAAAGGGCTGCTTACACACCCATAGCCACACTGCATGAGAGGAGCCCAACTGCTCAGACAGAAGCCCATGGGCATGTCCCAACTGCCAAACCTGGGTACCCCCCCCCCGAAGACCCTGATCCCTGCCCTGGGGATCCAAGAGTCCAGCACATTCTGTTCTTCCTTCCGGGAAGCGGGTGTCCCATAGACAGCCAACCAGCACGTCCCCATCTCTGGAGCATATGATTGGCCCCCAGATAGACATGTGACCAGGCTGGTCTAATGAGAGCCTTCCCAGGGACTTTAGCTGAATTCCAGGAAGGGCTATCTGAAGCCGAGGGCAGGGCATCCTGTGGCGAGGGGAGGAGCCGGCTGAAGGGCTAAGTGGGAGAGGCAGCACCTGAGCCCCAGCCAGGTGGTGCTTCCCACTTTCAGGAGACAATAAATGTTCTTTTTTTTTTTTGCTGGAAATGGCTTGGGTTGTGGTTAGCTTCAAGCCAGCAGGCCCTGCCGAATGCTGTGGTTCCATCTATCGCCTCATGGATCTTGCCCTCCTTTGGTGAATGTGTCCACTCCTGTAGCTGCTTCCCATGGTTCCCAGACCTGAGCATCTGCTGTCCCCGATGTCCCTCATCCCCTCATCCACTTCCTCCTCCCCAACCTGGAGCATTCCCCGAGCTGCAGTGCCATCCCCCCACCCCCTGCCCTGCCAGGCTGCCTGAACTAAGGAATGTCACTCCTCAACATCCTTCCCCCATCTCTGCCCTGGGGTCTGACACCCTTATTCCTGCTGGAGGTCCTGTCAGGGGCTGCCTCATCATCCCTTTCCTCACCCTGGCCCCCCAAGGCCCTTGCCCTGAGCAATCCAATCGTTGGATTCTGCTGCAGTGATGGAGCTGAGTGAGGTCAAGTACAACGTGGCAGCAGCTGGGGCTGGCTGGGTTATTGTGGGCACTGTGCCAGGCAGGTAACAGGCCCCTCGATGGCAGGAGGAGCCCTGGGGGCCTGGCCTGATCCCTATGCCCCCCGGAGACTCAGTTTCCTGGTTGGCAAGATGGCAATGATAATAGCCACCCTCTCCGGTTCAACATGAGGCCCTCGGGAAGTCAGGAGCAGGCTCTGAAGAGCATCTGGCCTGCAGTCAAGGCAGGGGTGAAACCGCCTGACTCACCCCAGGAGATCCGGGCACCAGATTAACCTTGTTCCGGCAGATGAGACGGCGGGTGCGTGGGCCCATGGGAACACACCCGTCGAGCGCCAAGGGGAGATGACAAACAGCCTCATCCGTGCCCAGGGCAGCTGCTCACTGGGCGAGCTCGGTCACGCCTGCA